TTGTTCAATGAGAAACGGTTGGGTGCCCAGTGGCAGGAGGAGGATTGGGAAAGTCAGTAGGAGGGGATTTCTGATTGACAGTATTTGGGTGGTGCAAGAGAGGAGGCCTCACTAGAGTGATATCACAGATGATTATCAGGGCAGCTTTGAGGGTCAATTAGCTGATACAACAACATCAGTTATGGTCTTTTAAAATGTGCTTTTCAGCCACAAGTATTTCAGGTTGGTGTAGGTGAGGAATTTTTGCCTCTGTCAGCACTGTTTTCATGGTTCATTGTGATTTGAGAACATGTACTTTTAGTTTTCGCTGTTTAGCTGTGTGCTCTCCAGTTCCCAGTCGTAGGGAGTTCTCTGACCTGCTGGGTTTTGCTTTGCAGACAGTGTTACCTTTTAAGGACACTCTGCAGGAAACCATGGCTTGGGGGGGCCTGTGGGGAAATGCTGCTTCTGTCCTGTGACTCCCGTTGGGGTTGAGGTTCGTTAATACCTTAGATCTGTAATCGGATGTTTGTAGAAGGAGGAAGAGGAAGAATTGTCGTGATTAATTAATTAGACAGGCGTGAGCTTTCTCAGAAGTCTTAGATGCTATTTTGGGAGATGACAGCAGGTGGCAACCTCTCCCTAAAAAGAGTCCTGTGGAAGAGTTCGGTGCTTGTGAATTTTTCTCAGGCAGCCGCAAGAGGTTGCTGAAGAAGGGCTTTTTACTGCTTTAAGAGCCGAGAGTTCTGTCCTAGGTACAGACATTGTAAGATTAAAATGAAGCTTTTTCTTTCCCTTCCAAATTCAGAGCCCACTGCCTTAAGAAGGTGCTGCTGCATCCCTGCAGAGCCTCAGCTGCAGTGGAGCTGAACAGATAGGAGGTGTTTGAAAGATGGTGTGATACTGCAGTCTTTTGGCTTCTTATGCATCTTCTGTGGGCCTTCTCGAGTCTGTTTGCACTACTGCTTCTTTGCCTTGAGGACCAGGGATACAGCATACCTGTTCAGTATCTGTAATCCAGCACTTTTGGGTTTGTTCTGTTTGCTTTCCTATGTCTGGGTGTGTCACCATAGGCAAGACACTTTACCTTACTATTCTGTCCTGACTTAAGTTTGTGGGAAGAGAATAGTAATGTTGACTTTCTTATGCAAAATGCTTTATTGACATGAAAAGCTGGACAATTGATCAATACTGTTCTGCACTTTTTTCGTGGCTTCTCTTTGTGTTTGCCTGTTAAATGGAAATTGTGCCAGCCGTACAGTCAGACCAGCACAGGGTAAGGAGTGGGAGCTTGTACCACTTACCTGGCTAGATTTCTAATGGTTACCCTCTTCATTACTTCCTTACCAGTTAACTTACTAGAGGAAGGAGGTGTCTTGGCTGTTGTTGAGTCATGTTGTTGGGTTAGCAGGAGAGTTGCCCTTTCAGAAGCCAAGAGACAGGGAGGCCTGTGTGTACAGCCAGTGCCTACAACTGGTGGGTTGTTCCTGGAGGATAAAAAGGCAGGAAGGGGCCAGGTAAGGACCATACCAGCTGTCCTGCTGCTCAGCAGCAGGGGAGTCAGGTAGAGCCTTGTGCAGTAGGCTGTTGCTAGCAGGTTCATCTGACTCCTGGGGATATCTTCTCTCCTCGCTGCCAATGAAAGGAGAGGGCAGAACTGCTGCACTAGTGCAGGAGACAGGTTAGTGAGTAGGTGCTGGAATTTCTTGGCAGAGAGAATATGATGGAGCTCTAATGAGTACTCTGCAAAGGGTGTGCTGAAAGATAAGAAAGTAAGCTTCAGAGGTCTGTTAGGGTGACCAGCAGGAGATGATCTTTCCACCTCTGTTCCTAGTTGCACTTTTTTTATTGTACAAGAGTTCTGTTCCCATTTTTCTAGACCTCAGCTAAGTTGGGATAAAGTTAATATGAGAATAGCAATAGGCAGTTTGAGTTTTGGGAGAATTGTCAGAGCTCAGACTGAAACCCAGTTGTTACTTCTGTTACTTCTAGATCACTTCTTCTCACCTTCTACCACTTACAAACTCGAGCAGAAAGTAAAATTTATTTATTTTTTTCCCTTTTCAAAGGAACATGAACAAAGTACATAAACTGAATTGGCACGTGATAGCATTGTACTTTGTTTTCTGTTGCCACGTCACTTTTCTGCTTGGAATTTAGCCTGCCCAGAGATTCCTCCTGCTCCCTTTTTGCTTATGTATATACTGACATCAGCTTGCTCAGAGAGAGCAACTAGTGCTTTGCAAATACGTTTGTGTAAATTAATTTCAGCAGCTGATTTAAACCAACCTGGACTGAAGACTTGAGTACATTGTTTAATTTAAATCCCCTTTCTTTTACAGAAACTGTGCTGGTTTTGGGGTATGAGAAAAAGAGCTACCTATGAAAAAAAAAAATAACCTGGGATCAGGCAGCTGGGATTGTTGGGTTGGGTTTTTTTTTTTTATGAATTCTAAAATACCTCAATTCCTGTGAAATTATTCACTAGCTCAGGAAATAACAAGTAACTTCTCTCTATTGAGAGCTGTATGTTCCTGTTGTACTTTTGTAAGGGGGATATTTTGTTACTCGCATGATTATTTTCATGTTGATTTATTAACTGTTCTAACCACTATGTGAAATTTCTTCTAGAGTCTAGAAAATGAAGCTAAAAGAAATTGAGCGAACAGCTGTCCAGGCATGGAGCCCAGCAAACAACCACCCCATTTATTTAGCAACAGGTAAAGTTCTTCTCAATTTGTGAAAATTAAAGTTTGAGTCACGAATTTTTACGTAGATTTGTATTTGCTTTAACTTTCAAAAATTCCCACCTTAATAAACTCTGGAAAGCTTTCAAGCAGTATACCAAAAATGTTACAGCCTTAATTTTTTTTGTTAAGTGACCTGTGGAGGATTATTTTTATGCCTATCTTTGACATATTGATGGCCACTGTTAGTTTTTCACCCTTTGAAAAAAAATGAAAATCTTCTGATTAAGTCTGTATGAATTCCAACACGTGCTTGTTATTACAATTAAACCAAAATAAGATTACACAGGAAGAAAAAGTTTTCTAATCATGTTCATTGAAGCTCACTTTTACCCTGCTGGTCTTCAGACATTATCACATGGTTTGATAATAGAGTAGTAGAAGTCTCCCCAAAGTTACATGTTTTAGTTATAATTAAATTTTCAACATTTCTGCAGAACCTTAAGTTTGCGTGTTGTTGACATTATTGATTATTCACTATTACAATGATTTTATTTCCTGAAGCACTAGGTCAGTCTGTTTACTGAGTTGGCAGTGGGTGAGTTTAGTGTCTGTGGAACCAACAGCTTGGGTTGTTGGCCCAACATGAGAGCTAGTCAGCTCTGTCTCCTGCCTGAGTTGTGCAGCCCTGCCATATTGCTTCATTGTTGTTGTTTTTTTCAGCAGGGATGACTGTCAAAAGAAAGTGCCAAGATTTCAGCTATTGCCTTAAAAACAACATTACCATTTTGGGGCTAGATAGTCTGTGTTTCTCTAATAAGGACAGATTTTTTGCTTGGACCAAAGGTCTTGGCTTCAGTCTGCTTTAGATCAGAAACTACATAGTTTCATAATTTGTACTGCTATTTAATAGTCTCTTGTGCACTTTTCATGCCATAGACAGTTACAAAGCACCTCTGTGGTAACTGAGAATTTGCCTGGCAGTGTCCCATTAGGCAATGTTCAATCTGTTTTTAGCTTTTATTCTGTAAGCTAGGGAGGAGGAAGGAAGCCAGCACTGTGTGGCTACTAGTTGTCTGCGGATCACTGGGGAGTGTTTAATTGCCTAAGGTTAAAGAACTTTTGTTGTAGACCAGATTTAGAAAGTTTGATCAAGACATAGGGTAATGGTTGAGGAGCAATATACAGAGGTATTTGGGATCATACTTGTAGCAGGGTTTAATGATGCAGCTGCATTTGTAATTTAAATAAGGACAATATCAGAAGCTGTGGCTGCTTGGAAGAAGATATAGGAATTATATTTAACCCAAGAGAGGTATTTATGCAATAGTGACCCTGTTGTCTAGAATTTCTAGAAAAAAATTTAATTTCTTTTAAAGTGTTTTATTTATTTGTTGGTTCCTCTTTCTGGAGTACTCTAACATGTCCTCTCCTTGAATGCTTAGAGCCAAGGTTGCATTGCCTATGAAGAACAGGTTTCCAGTGCCTTGCTCTTTTTGTATCTTGTGCTCTTGAAAAAAGCACCCACTTGTTTTGCCCTTGTACTTCTGCTAGGAACATCTGCCCAACAACTGGATGCGTCCTTCAGTACAAATGCCACTTTGGAAATCTTTGAGGTTGACTTCAGGGATCCCTCCCTGGACATGAAGCAGAAAGGAACACTGACTGCCTCAAACAGGTACTAGAAACTCATACTGCCATATCAATCAGTGGAACTGAAAAGGGTTTTTCTGCTACAAGATTGGAGAGGAGGAGATAATATTTTTGGAGTATAAAGTGATCTTTTACATCAGTTGACCTCTGTCTTTAAGAATTGAATGCATTTGTGGACACAAATCATGTTGGGTGTAAAAGTACTACAGCTGGACCATTGGAGAAGTCTGAAAGGACTTACATGGTAGTCAGTCAGGAGAGTCATTCTGTATCATGTGAATTTGCTGGGGCTAATGATTTGCAATAAAGAGACTAGAGGCAGAGTGAAACTTATATTCCAGCTTTTTAAGACAGGGTGATTTCTTAGGCCCATCAGTGTGGGTGACATTTGTACCCAGTGTAAAACAGCCTTGATTTGTAACTGGTGGCTTTTATATTGGATAAGCATTTTTCAGACAATAGCTCAGGAAAAGAAGGCATGTAGTCCTGTAATCTAATTTTCTGTATAGTATATGTTAGAGTAGTTGACCACCAAATCCCTTATGAGGTTTAACACATTTTAAGGGGGGGGGGAGGAGGGCGGGTGGAAATAGTCTTTGGAAAAAAGCTAAGTGATTATTTTTTTTCCATGTAAGAGCCACAGTCATCATCAAAGGGAAATGGTTATTTAAGTGCAAACCAATAGTTATGTTTGATAGGTCAGAACATGTATGTGGTTTTTGGTAATGCAGAGGGTGTTTTGACTTCCACCACTGTGGCCTATGATAGCTTTATTTTCTTACTTTTTAGGTTTCATAAGCTGATCTGGGGTAACTTTGGAAATGGGTCCTCAGAGTCCTCTGGAGTGATCATTGGTGGAGGGGATAATGGAGTACTGACCATGTACAGTGTGCACAACATTTTGGCTTCCAAGAGTGAGCCTATAATTGGGCAGACAGAGAAGCATTCAGGTCCTGTTCGAGCTCTTGACTTCAACCCTTTCCAGGTAGGCAACATTAAGGTACTTATAATCAAATTAACCACTATATAAAAAAAATGTTTTTCCCTTGTGTATAGAGATTTATAAACTGAAGTGACAGCTTTTAACCTCAAAGAGGCATGGTAGTTGTGACACAAGACTGGTTTGGGAGCCGAATTTGGATTCTATTCACAGCTTTAGCATTGAATTCCCCTCTGGCCTTGATCAGGTCTTTTACCTCTGTAAAAAGGTGTCTTGTAATACTTTTCCATGTTAGAGCATTATCCATTTGAAATCAGGACTCTTTTTGTTTAATTGGTGTCTGTGATCACACTGCAGGGATTGCAACGTAAGTGAGTGGTGAACAGAACACAGGTTCTCGCAGTAGCACAAAAGCTAGTTGAAAGTTGTCTGCAGACCCTTGTGGGAAGCCTGCATCTTCTCAGAAGAAATGTCCTTAGTGGCAGGAGGCCAGGCAAAGGATCAGCTCGCCAGAGACAGTGGCTTCCAGGCCTATGACAAAATTTAATGATGAGTAACACCAGCCACACACTGCACATGTACTTTGGTAGACAAATTTTAAAGAGGTCTGTACTGTGGCACAGCTGAAGGCAGAGAGGCCAGAAAAGTGCTTGGTTTATAATTCAGTTAGTATATTTCTGCTTCACAGTGGCTATGAAATGCAGGTCTAATCTGACCTTGGAAACTTTGTTTTTTTTAATTACATTTATTTTAAAGAAATCTGTTCTCTTTCCTTATGGAACTCAGCTGCGTTTTTGTTTTGTTTTTTTTCTATAGAGTAACCTCTTGGCTTCTGGAGCCAATGATTCTGAAATTTTCATCTGGGACTTGAATAACTTCAGTGTGCCTATGACTCCAGGGGCTAAATCACAGGTAAATGAATTTTCCTCTGGCTGATACCCCTGCAGTTTTATATCTCAGCAGGCAAGGCAAAAAGATGTGGATGTGCGGAGTCCTCCCTGTCTAGTCAGTCTGTGAAGGGGGGATGACCTTGACATCTGTCAGGAGAATGATGACCCAGAACTGACTGATCAGCTTCATTCTGAGGAGGTGGAAAGTGTGTTATAAGGGGAGGGGAGGTAGTCTGGCAGGCTCTGGAAAGATGCACTTTGCATGGATGGGTAAGCTCTTTGTGGATTTGAATCAAGTAACTGACCAGTTTATCTTGTGATCCAGCTGGGGCATGTGTGATGGATTAAGAAGGCTTATTGGACCTTCTCTGAGGAATGAATTTACTTCAGGCTTCAGCTGAAGCTTTTCATATCTCATAAAAGTAATATCCTTAGCAGAGCCAGTGAGCCATTTAATGCATCTTGGCTATTAACTCCCAGATGGTGTTTCCTAAGTTTGAAGAGGAGGAAGCTTCTGATCTTCTGTTGATTATGTTATTCAGGACAATCCTGAATAGTGAAAAAAATCCTAGTAAACTTGTGTAAAAGCAGGCCAAGTTTTTATTCCAGTAAGCCTTCCATTTGTCTCCTCATCTATCTCCTGCATTGCAGTAGGTACAGTCACGGCAATTAGCCTTGAATGCTTCATCATTTTCCATCTCACTGCACTCCTGAAATGTTGCACAAGGTCATCTTTCCATTTAAGTTCATCCAAGGAGTCAGAGTAGAAGCATGCATCTGTGTTCTCTCAGCTGCAGTTCTCTTTTAGCTGATTTATGGCACATTTGGCCAATGCAGAATCCAGTGCCTGCTTCCAAAATGCAGAGCTGCTTTTCCAAGTGACATTCCCCATACAATTTGACTGTCTGCTGTACATTCTGGGTAAAAGTCTTTCTGTGCTCCCTAGTCTTTCTGGTTGGTGTTGCTATTTCCAGTCAGTTGATCAGTGATTGAAGAGACAAATCTGTATATCCTCAAATCCCTCAGTTCAGCTTGTGACAGAATACTGTGGTTAGTGTTGCCTCAACATGGGAATAATGGATGTGTGGCCTTTCCTATCTTGGCAGCCTCATGAAGACATAAGCGCAGTGGCCTGGAATCGGCAGGTGCAGCATATCCTGTCCTCCGCTCACCCCAGCGGCAAGGCTGTGGTTTGGGACCTCAGGAAGAATGAGCCTATCATCAAAGTCAGTGACCACAGCAACAGGGTGAGTGGAGGAAAGACTGTAGTTCTGACTACCTTATGACGTGCCACGTGTGAATGCAAAGCAATGCACAAGCTCTTGGGATCAAGCATTTTTAATGTGGGAGCTGTTGGGGGTGGTTCTCTTGGAACTGAAGCATAAGAGCACCTCTCTCTTTTTTCCCTCATGAAATGGAGAGACAAGGCCTCTAGCTGTTCCTAAAATTATGGCATTCTTGCATTCAGTTTGTATTTACAGCTCATTTATGAGACGCCTCCTGTGTTTTAATCCCAGCTGTCTTCCAATGTAAACTTTGAAATAGTCCTTCAACTTCTGTATGGTTAGTGGGGGTTTTTTTGCTATGTAGAGAAGGCAGAAATACTTCTTTCCACAGCAAGAGATTGCTAGCCTTATTTTAAGTGTTCCTGGCAAGTTGAATGCAGAATGTTGTGGCTCTGGACCATCTGTGCTATTGCCAGGTTGCTTTGCTGAATTTTCAGCCTATGCTATTCTTGTCCCTAGATGCATTGCTCAGGAATGGCCTGGCATCCAGAAGTTGCAACCCAACTGGTCCTTTCCTCTGAGTGTGACCGCTTGCCAGTGATCCAAATATGGGACTTACGTTTCGCTACCTCTCCTTTGAGCCAGCTGGAAAGGCACACTAGGTGAGGACTTGCTTGTTGAGTTGCCTTTTCAAGGATCTCCATCTTTCAAAGGAAGCCATCTGGGAGACTGGACTTAGGAGGGCTATGATTTTTGCTAGGCTTTCTGTGTTTCACAGGTTGGTCTAGTTGAGGGCTGAGTTTTCATCTACCTGAGATGAGCACTAGCATTTCTGAGCTTGAGCAGCATTTATACTGCTTTCTTGGTGATGGAGTGGCAGCGTAGACCAGGTATGAAATATGACTGATTTCTTTCTGATCTATTTTAGGGGAATTCTCTCTGTCTCTTGGTGCCAGGCTGACCCTGAACTGCTGTTGAGTAGTGCCAAAGACAATCGGATCTTGTGCTGGAACCCAAGTGCGGGGGAGGTACGTAGCCACAGCTATAAGTACACGTGGTCTGCCTTATACAGAGTTGCATGCTATGCTATGTGTGTGTCCCTTCTCTGTAGCCCTGTGAAGTACCAGTGTAATTTCCTTCAATATATTTTCTTCACTCTTCCCGTCTGGAGTGAATAAGAGTGTTGTCCATATCCAGACTGAAAACAACAGAGTCAGGCAGAGATTATCTTCAGTATATCTGTGTCCAGAGATCATAGAGGGAAGAAAGCTTTAGTTTCAGCTAATTATGATTACTGTTACTATGCTCACGCATGCAGTGTTCTCTGTGTCTGCTTGTTTGTTTTTTCTTTCTTCTCCTGTAGTAGTAAGTCTTTTTGGGGGGAAACTGGGAGGAAGATGAGGGGCATTTCTCAGGGTCATTCAGAGGGAAACAATGTAATCAAATATGTCTGTAAATGTTATTCATAGTACAGTGCTTATCTAGTCACATATCTCAGATTCACTGTTATTGAAAAATTTTAGTATCACCTGAATTAAAATAGGACTGTGTAAAAATATTTTCTGCACACCTACTCATTCAATGTTGAATTTCTGGATAAAACTGAATTTCGAACTTTGAACAGAGTTCATGCAGTTGATCTTGATAATAGCATAGGGAAAGTATTCTAACAATACTGACCAAAGTCCAGCTGGGAGCCCCAGGCTTGATTGATTTCCTGGGACAGTTTGACTTATCTGACCACCTTTGCCTTGGAGACATGGAAAAAAAATAATCCTTTTTCATAAAATGCATGAAATGCTGCTGTTGTGGTTTTGTGGGATTTGAAGCTCAATCTGTACAGATGTCTAGTGTCTACAAGAGAATCAGATTCTGAAACATTTCCCAAGTCTAATTTTTATTAAAGTCTTTTCACTGTGTTTCTGTGGAAAATTAAAAAAAAAACCCACAGTTTTAGCATAGCTGGCTCATCTTTATGCATGCTGCTGTAGATTTGCAGAGTCCACATTCAACTTATGCATTTATGCACAAACTATTGTTAGTGGGCTGTTCTTGGCTACAATTTTCAGGTACCACAAAAATTGGGAAGGTTTTCAATAGTAAGGATAGTATAGTTACAGAATGGCTGATGCAGTGAGTTTGGGAGAAGGGTTGGGTTTTTTATTTTGGGTTTTTTTTGGTGCTTGTTTTGTTTGTTGCTTTTGTTTTGGTTTTTTTGTTTTAAATTTAGTGATCCAGATTTTAATATAAGCAAACACAGTGTTTTATACCTGGAGGCAGAAAACACTGTTCATGTTCCTACAGAGGAGGAAGCTGTGATTCTATGTGCTTTGTGCCTGTGAAGCATAAGGGAAATATCTCCATTTTACAAACTGGAGGCTCAAAGTCAAGGCTGTGTTAGAGTTGCCCAGTATCAGGCAGAAAGTCCATATTTGGGCCATGAATTGAACTTCGGATTTTTAAATTCTGGAGCAGAAACTTGGTGACTTTAATGTCCTTCATAGTTCATTGCAGCTATTACAGTTCACTTCTGCTCTACTTTTCTTTCTACAGACTTTTATTTTCCTTCTAAAATTTGTTATTCCAGACTTCTTTTTGTTTACATGTTCTTGCTCCTGACACCTTCTTGCCTTTTGACTTCTGGTTTTCTTGTGGTGTTTTCTGGTGTGTCTTCCTTGGTTAGCAGCAGGTGTGACAGTACTGACTTGCTGCCTTTGCATTTTGTTCCACAATTAGGGTCTGTGCCATGGCAGCTTTCTGTGGCTTTCTGCTGTTTGGGCTCAATACGCTATAACTTGGTTGCAATGCATCCTTCAAGGAGCAAAAATAAGAGAATTGTATACAATGGTGACATGTAAATAAAGCGTGACACACTGGGCAAGTGATTTGGGGGAAAGCAGGGGAACTATTAGTGTTGTTCTTCTGCCTTCTCTCTTTCTGTTATAGGTTGTTTATGAGTTGCCCATACGGAGTCAGTGGTGCTTTGATGTCCAGTGGTGTCCAAGGAATCCTTCAGTCTTCTCTGCTGCCACTTTTGATGGGTGGATCAACATTTATTCTGTTATGGGTGGGAACATAGAAGCTCAGCAGAAGACACAGGCTGACAAGGTAAAGGCCTGTGAACATGTTGCTGCTTGACAGATTAGCACTACTCACCTGACTTCTGAAAGCGTTAGAAGCACACGTGTAGCTGTGATTTTTTTAAGTGATGCAGTCTGGCTCACCCACCAGGAGTATAGCTGTATGGTGTGGGAAGCAGAAGCTACCTGTGTGGGGACTTAATATCCTCGAAGTCCCAAAGGGGCTACCTGGCCTCTTGACAAAGGTGTCTCAGTATTTTTTGTAAAATTCATTAAAGTATGCAGAGAGAACCAATATTTAAGTGTAGTTTTGATGTTACATATATTTGTTATATATATTTTATGGTTTTTACTACTAGACTAAAAAAACCCAGCACAAGTGTTAGAGAAACAAGCTTATTTTGTCATTAGATTAAAATGGAATACATTGATACTAATTAATAGATGTTAATCTTTATTAGTTCAGAAAATGTTTTTTAAAATAGCTTATAAGCCACTATTAGCAATTTATCCTAAGTCAGTTGACTGTAATTTGGAGCATGTTAATATTTTGGTACTGAAACCCGTTACCTGGCCAATGAATATATGGGTGAACTCTGAACAGATTAAATGTCAGTATTATCTGAAGTTTTAATCTGGTGTCTAGTCTTTTAATTCCCTCCCTCTCTCCCAGCCAACAAATGCCTTACAATACAGGTTTTAAGAGAATATGTATGAGCTGGCTTAAGTGTTATTTATATAGTCATTTACAGCTGACTGAGTTCAGTTTCATAGGATTTGCAAGAGAAAGAAAATACTTTATCATGGAGCAGCTGTAGGAGATTAAGGATTTCTTTTAACCCATGGAGAATTTTATTTCTGTGGATTCTTCACATACATGTGCCACACTTCCACTCTTCAAAATTGGAGAACAGTTTGCATATAATAACTCTGAGATAAATAGAACAACAAGTAAGAACAAAACTAGAAGGAGGTAATTACAATTATGGAGGTGGGGAGTTCATGACCAAGAGGTCTCTTTCCTCTGCATTCCATGGCATCAGGACAGAAACTGTTGAGGATCTGGTGGTTGATGGTCCTGGTACCCTGTTAGTGCATATTGGTTTTTTAAAGGCTTAGGGTGAATGATGTTTTAGGTATAAGCTGTTCCTCCAGGAAATGGTCTTTCTTTTAGAATTTGTTTCCCTTCAAGAAAGACTTGAAAGACAAAGCATGTAGGTCTTGCCTGTAATTTTTTGTCAGCCTTAGTTTGATGAGCCTTGTGTTGCTCCTTTTCAGGTTTGCTGGTCAGCTGTATTTTGGAGCTATGCCCTATGGTCCAGTCAAACTCGAACAGGGTTATATTTAGCAAATAACTAATCTATGCCAACAATGTTAAAAATTAAGAATGCTTGTGAACAGCATTGTATATATGTTCACTGAATTCCTAAATATCAGAAATTCAGATCAAGGGTGACATAGACACTCTCTTGTCTAAGCAAGGAGATCTGGAGAGATTATTTCCCCCGCCTTATCTAAACTATACAAGCTTGAGACAGTCCTTAAAACCAACCCATCTGGAGGACTTTAGCAACAGAAAGGGAGTCAGCATTCCTTGCTGAGCAAAGAAATAAATAAGTGGGACAACTTTTGGCCCTATGTTGTCAACTGTCTTGCATAAAACAAGTAATTTTGTAACTCCCGTGTTTAAGAGGTGGTTGCTACACTAAGCAGTGTTTGTTAGGGAGTTTGCATCTTGCTGAGGAAAAATTACTTGAAAATCTCTCAAGATGAAGCATTCTTGAGAAATAATTTCTGAAACTGAAAAGACTGTTTCTCTCACATAGAGACTTGGTGGTGCTCCAGGAAGAGGTGATATAATACCCTTTTTTTTCATCAGCGAGGAAAGTAAGCAATAGGTTTTTGTCCTTACTCAGTACAGAGAGGAATTGAATGGTATCTTAATTCTTTTCTCCATCTGATTCTAGATTTCTTCCTCCTTCAACAACCTGGATCCCTTTGGTACAGGACAAGTGCTTCCACCTCTGCAGGTGCCAGAGCAAGTAGCTCAGACCACCTTGATTCCACCATTAAAAAAGCCACCCAAGTGGATTCGCAGACCTGTGGGAGTTTCATTTGCAGTAAGTGGACGGAGAATTCTTATCTTAATAAATGCAATAAATGTGTGACCTTGTGACACAATTCTGTTCTTCCACTACAGAAACCTTTATATCTTCCTGTTGCTAGTTGTTTAATGGCTGTTTAAGGTGCACTGTGGTGTCCTAAGGAGCAAAACTCTTTCGCTCAACATTTGGATGTATTTTCAACAAGAGTTTTGTAGCAGAGAAAGGGAGATTATGAATAAAAGTTAAAAAAGCTAAGGTAGACTCATAAAAGCTATCCTGCTAGGCTGTAACATACATTCCTGTTCTTATCAGTGTTTCTTATTTCTATCCATATATATAATTTTCTTCACCTCTTTCCTATTTAATCAAAAGGCTGAATTGTTCTATTAGCAGAGGGCTTGACTTTGTTCACTATCTGTCTAGTGCCTGCCACCTGGTAGTCATTGCAGCCTGACTCTCCTTGTCCTAAAAGAACAAACACTTCCAAGTGGTACATTTTCCTCTGTGCCCATCTAACAATCGAAATTGGCTAGGCCTGACAGTGCATACACAAGTGTTCTTATTAGTGTTCTGCTGAAGGGCTTGTGATGTGAACTCCCTTGATGTCTGTACCACATTAAACTGTGGGTTCCTTGTAATCACAGCTGGAACTTGAGTCCACCTTGCTGAATAAAGAGCTAACTGAGTTACTTTTACCTCTGTTTATAAGAATGCTTACTGATCTCATTCTGTCTTCCTCAGTTTGGAGGAAAACTTATTTCCTTTGGTTTCACCAAAGCCCCTGGACAGCAAATGCAGCAGGCTCACCCGCACCAGGTATTCATCAGTCAAGTCACTACTGAAACTGAATTCCTGCTCCGATCCAGAGAACTGCAGATGGCCTTGCAATCAGAGAACCTTCGTGATTACTGCCAGGGCAAGATCCAGACAGCCAAGTCTCCATTTGATGAGAACCTTTGGAACTTCCTGAAGGTAGGATGTCTGTGATGAAACACAGAGGTCATTTCTTTTATGGTCCTGAGGTGTAATGTGTTCCTTCTAGCCCTTTATATTCCTGTTCCTTAAGATATAAAATGGAACTCAATAGGCTAGCAACTTGTCTAAAGAAAAGTTTTTTGCAGTTAAGGTGTTGGAGATTGCTTTATTTTTCAGTAGGAATGGTCTTTTCAGTGGACTCATTTGGGCTTCCTGTCAAGGTGCTAAACAGAATTTTCTTTTCTCAACCCATCGCCAAGCTGTATCTGCCTGCTACCCATGGAGCCCTACTGTTACTATTTCTTAAGGCAAAGTCCAATTGGGCAATGAGAATCCTCCATAACAAGAGAGAGAGCTGTGGTAGCTTGAGGACGGACTCTGTAGCCTTATGTAGGATGATGATTTCATTGATAATTTGCTAATATGGATGAGTTTGATAATGAGGAGTGGCCACTCTTTGGCAGGGGCAAAGCTTAGCTTAGGTAGTGTTTTACAGATCCTCACAGGCAGACTGTGTGTGGGGCAAAATACTGGAGTCTTTTCCATAATATTACTTCTACGTGGGGAATGATATCTCTTGAATAGAATGGCCAGGTGTTGCCTAGGTACTGACAGTAGTCTCCATTACAACAATGTCTTCAACTGCATCCAATGAGATACCTCAAACTTTTATAGTGAATTTTTGTAATCCAGCTGGCCCATGGTCCTGTGAGACCACTTCAGTATGTACAAGATCTATTACTATTGATTGTCTTAAACTACAAACCAAGCTACAGAAGACTGTCTGCAAGACCATTTCTGCACCTGCAAGAACAATTTCTACTGACTGTTTACCAGTTTCTTATTCATGTACAGTTTGGTCAGTTCTGTAGTAGGAAAAGCCTAGAACTTAAGGAGACAGATTCTCCTTGAGGATTATTAATCGCACATTAAAGCATACAAACAGTGCCTGTCAATTAGGCTGTGTGCTGGAACTGTCTGAAATCTCACCCAGTGAGCTTCCTTAATGATTAGTTAACTAATTTTTGGAAAGTCAGCTAGGACTTCAGGCAACCACCTTGGCTCAGTTTCATCCAGACTCAAATCAGTCTATTGTCTCTATGTGAAGATTAGCTTGGCAATTCCTAGACCACCCAGGGAGTTAATGACCAAGTACATTCACTAAGTATGTATACATTCATAGCCCTGACATGCAGTTGTATCTCATGGTAACTATGTGACAAACTTGAATTTCACCCTTTTATCTTGATTATAAATTCCATAGATTTTTCCACAGTAGTAATTAGGTGGACTTGTCATAGTTGAGTTCCTTATCTACAAGCTGAGCTCTAAACTTTGCTGCTGCCAGAAGCAGCCACACTGGCTGTGTGCAGATGTCTTGGTTTTTACATGTTTTCTTGTCTTTTTTAATATCCATTGGGACTCAGGTGAATCTGGAGCAGGAGTCCAGGACTAAACTCCTCAGGCTGCTGGGCTATAGTAAAGAGGATCTACAAAAAAAGGTAAGGGGCCTTTCCAAGAGAGGGAAACCTTTACAGGACTAAAGCTGCTGCACGAGAATTGTAGAGTCCCTGCTGGAAATAAGTGAAAGGTGTCGCAACACAGAAAACATGGAACTGTATGAAATCTCAGCTGAGTGGCACCTGTATCCCCCCTTAAAAAGCAAATGCAGGCACTTTTAAGGGTATAACTGTATCTGTACTGGATCAAACCAAAGGAGTCTTGAGCCCATTTATCTTGCTTCTAGACGGAGCTCTGGGAAGTGTATAACAAGCAGAACAGTTGTGTGCGTATCTAGCATCCAGCTCTCTGAATCCTAGGGTATTCCACAGCCAGAAGAAGGTGACAGATGAAGACAGTCTGTCATAGCACTGATGGAGCTGCAGGGGAATAAATGTACTGCAGCATGAACAATTCTCTGAGCAGGATAAATAAACTGATAGGCATCCAGCCAAGAATAGGGAGAGGTGGAACTTTTCAAACAGTTGAAAAAGCTGGGAGAATTCTGTTAGGGGCTTGCCAGTCATTTGATACTTCTGCTGTTTAGGTGTTTAATTTTGGTAGGGGCTTCACTCTGTGAATGTCTGTTACTTTTCTAGATCTCTTCGTGCTTGAGTAATGGGATCCCAGATAAACAGCCCCTTCCTGAGGCAGATGAGACAAATGCTGAACAGCCAGATCAGGTATGTCCTGTTCATCTTGCCAGTCTGGGAGAGCAGTGGAGGGTGGAATGGACAGTTTAGTTCCAACCACAAGTTGTTGGACTCAATGCATGCATCAGAGAGGGCAGTTCACAGGCCTGTTAGATCCTCACAGGGTCAGACTAAATGATCGTAGCAAATCAGTGTGAATTATGGAGACGGATTCCTGGCTGCTAACACTGCAAGAAGGCTTACTTCACCAGTGCTGATTTCTTCAATGACAGAATTAACCTCACCCCAGCTTAACTTCATGGTGCAGTTCTGGATTTTCTCTGTGAAGCTTCTCCTGTGGTATTTCTTTTGCATTTCTTTCCTTTTCACCTCTGTTCTTTGAAATGCGTTCTCACATGATTTTGGGATGTCCATCTTCTGGTGCCTTTCAAGGCCTGGTTCACCATGCACTGTAGAATTTGCTCCTCTAAGGTATCTAAAACTACTATCTTCAAATTAGTAATCTTTGCAAACCTTAAACACTTGCTGAGATACTGTCTGGGTAGCAGTTGCGTCCTGCATTTCAATAAAGCACTAAGCATGGCTGTGATCCTACCTGTTAGTTGCAAATATAACTTGTTTGGTTTGTCCCTATTCTCTCCAAAATGTTCAGCTTCCTGAAGCACTGTCAGTTGAGTTGATGAATACTGGCCAGCAATACTGTTGGCACTGCATGTCTGACTGTCAGTTTCCTACACTTTGTCACTAGCAACTGCTCCAGTTGCTGCCCTGGCAAAACTGCCCAGATTGATAGAGCAGTGACAGGAGGCATGATGGTTTCCAAGTTGAAATCAGATTTATATGAGTATGCTCAACCAAATGGAGAGCAGATTCATCCCTCTCAGTAATACATTAAACTGTTTTGGGTGGGATCTCTGTGTTCATTTAATTAATTAATCTCTTGCACTCTTTGCACAGCTTTTGATAAATTCCAGTGATGGCATAGCTGCTGTTTCCTCCTCTTCAGCCTTTTTTGACAACCTCATCCCACAGAATATGAGCACATTGGAGATTCCTGTCACAGAAGGTATGTGACATGAAATGTATTTTTGCACTCTTAGG